AGAAAACCTGCACTGCCCACACACATTTACATCCACTCCCAGCTAATGAATTCTGTGTACAACTGACACAGCAGCTCAGCAAGAGATTTATGACTAATCCAATTTTACATGTCTTTCTTCAACCTTTTCCTTCGGGAACAAAGAGCTTTTCTGTGAGCATTTAAAATCCAAAATTCCTGGAGCACACAAGCCTCCCTGGTGGAGCACATACCCGTTCCTCTTGGGCAGGTAGGCTTCCATGTCAAAGAAGGCATTCTGCCTCTCCTTGATCTGGCTGCTGATCTCCTGAATGAGAGCAAACTCCTCAGGACTCGCTCTGGGCTTGCACCTGCAAGAACACAGAAACAAGATATTCCTGTTCGTGTTTTCACCTCCTTTTTATTTGAAGGAAAATAATGTCATAAAATCCAGGCTGTTAAAAAGCTGGCTCTGGGAATTGATGCTTTGCTCCTATATTTCTGAGGAACCATTTGGCTTATCACGACTTTATTTCACTGCCAGGTTTATGCTGCTGTAGGTTACTTCAAGCAGCTGGTTTATAAATCAGCTTCTCTTTCCATCAGCTCAGTGACAGGATTGCATGGGAATATTTTGTTTTTCTGAAGGAATTCTCTCCACCCTGGGAACTCTGCGTGTGGTTTCAGGCACTGCCCTTGCAGAGGCTGCAGCTCTTCAGGTATGAAGTATTTCAGGATCTAACAGGACACAGAGCTGATGATTTACTGACAAACTGTGGTTTTAGTAATTAATGTTAACCAGGGAGCAGTGAGCAGCAGAGCCAGCAGCCTGTGGTGTCAGAGGTGCTGCACACAAGGAATTCAGCCCATGGCTCCTGGGATCAGCCAGGCAGCCAGAGACAGTTCCCTCCTGTAAATCCACCCAGGAGCAAGTCACACCTTCAGGTTCAAGGGCTGATGCTGCTCTTCCAGTGCAGTTACAGAGCAAAGCATTGCTCACCTGGCACAGCCAAAAGCTGCACAGCCCTGCAATGCACAGCAAGCACTGCAAGCAAGAAACCCACAGCAGCTCCCTTAAATGTCTTTATTTACAGGGCTCCCTCTCTCATGCAGTAATGAACAATTACTTGGCTGTAATATGGAACAACTTTAGCACTGCAATATAGATTGTCTAGTAAAAGACAATCCAAGCATTTCAGCCCTTGGGAAGGAGAACTATCCCCATCCCACCCCATCCCATCCCATCCCTGCCTCCTCCACACTCCTGTTACCGCTGCAGGCTGTGCTTCAGGTCCCTCAGTGTCTTCTTCTGCCGCTGTATGGAGCTGCTGCAGGCTGTCTGCAAGCTGGTGACTTCTTCCAGTTTCTGCCTGTAAACTTTGTGTGTTTCCTGCAGGAGAAGAGGAGGTGGTTGGTAGGAAGAGCCCTCCTAGGTTATTCATGGCATTTGGCCCTCACCTCCAAGGGAAACCAGGAAAATCCTGGTTTTATGGGATACAACAGGCACCCCTTTAACAAGCAAGGAGGGGAAGATGCCAAACCAGCACAGCTACAATAAGGCTTAAATGGACACTGATGAAATTCCCTGCAAGAGGAAAAGCATCCTCTACACTCATCTCATTGCCTCTTTAAAGAGCTTTCCCACTCAGGAGCTTCTCACTGCCATCCCACCCTGCAATGAAGCCCCTAATCCTTGAATCCCCTAATCCTCCATTTGATCCTGATCCATGCCCATCAAATGGTGGCTAAATCACAGAGCAGGCACTCCAATTTCACAGCCAGATTAAATCTTGGAGAAAATAAAGGAGGACCTAACAGAGTGGGGGAGGGAAGGGAAAGACACACCACCAGGCATAAATCCATGGCTGAGGGTTTAGGCACTTCTGGCCATCACTGCCATCCCAACCCCACAGATATTCAAGCAACCTACTGCCCCATATTCTGGTTTAAAGAGCTGAACTGATGTCCCTGCCTGTGGCCTCAGATGCTCCCTGGGAGGAACTGCTTTATCACAGCTCATTGGTCCCCTGAAGCCCCCAATTAGTGCTCAGCCATAATGAGGACACGCTCACCAACTGCAGAACCATTGAGAGGAAACTCTGCTCTCACCCCTCCCTGCCCTTGGCTCTGCTTTTCCACCCTTTGCAAGGATTTCACCCTTTCCCCATGAGGGAGGTCTCAGGAAGGGCTCTCCAAGCACCAAGCAATGACCTCTGAGCCAATTTGAAGACCTATAATAAATTGGAAAACAGAGTTTGGAGAGTTGGTGCCAAGAGAGTGTGGGTTACACGGCTGCTTCACCTACCAACACCACGGACCACTGCTCTTCCCAGAGCACAAACATGGTGGTGAAACCATACAATCCAAACCTTTGCTCTCCTCCTTGCTAGGACCCACCTGGTAGCTGTTCTTTATTTACAAGAACATCCAAAACAAGCTCCAGTGTCTGATGTAAAGACCTTCATAACCAAACTAACCCCGTACAGGCACTGCAGCTCTCACTGTTTCAGGCTCACTTTGGTTTTGCTGAGCACACCTCTACAGCACTAATCCTCACACCTCGACTACCAGCAGCTGCCACCCCACCAAAAAGTGCTTCTACTTTCCTTTTCCAGGTGGGGAAACTGAGGCAGGGACAATCAATCACTGACATTTACTGTGGTTTAGGTCAGACTAAGGCAGGGAGTTTGTCGAGAAGGTGCACACAGGAAACAAGTGACCAAAAAACCACTCCAGATGGGCTCCCCCAGCACCCAACCCTCGTTTCTGCTAACAGGAGTACAACCTGAACTGAGTTTTAATTAAGAAACAAGCTAAATGTGGAGATCACACTTTTTTTTTTGCATGCACGTTCTGTTTAACAGTCTAAAAGAGGCTAAAACAGCCTCCAGAGTGAGAACAGCCTGTCGTACTTTAAAACCGGCTTTAAGATTTTAAGCACGTGTATAGGTGCAGCACTGATGACAAGCAGGGAAGGAAAGGAAGGTTTCTGGAGGTCAGAACATCTTGTAGAACAGCTCTTGGCCCCTACTCCGAGACCTTTCTGCCCCTCAATGCACTTTTGCAAGATGGAAAAACAGGGCTTGGACCCGGCGTATCCCACCAAAGGAGATCAGACCCGGCCAGGAGCTGCCGGCGGGACAGGCGCTG